TGCTACCTGGGGGATGTGTTGGACATGGAAGTCAACCGGGACCCGTTGTCGATACGACCGCTCATCCAGCAAGAGGACTTGGATGCGCAGCCTCTGCTCGTTCCGGTGTTGGCTGTCTGGGAGATGTTTGACCGTTGGCTTCGCCTTGGCCCGGACGTCACTGCCACTGCCAGAACGAGTCAGGAGTGGCTTGACATCTTTCGTGCTATGGCCGCTGGCGGCTTTGCCCGAGCTCGTCCTCTCATGGAGCATCTGGTGAATTGGGATGCCTTGATGGACTTGCCGCAGGAGGGACGGGTCTTCTTTGCAGCGGACACGGAGTTCTGGTCTATGTACGCAGAGGGACAGCCACGAGAAGAGACAGGTGATGATGGAGGGCATGACAGGGGTGGAGATGACACCAAGTCGATCAGGGATGCCATGAACTGAGTGGATGCCAGACGGTTGCCTTCTGCGCAAGCGCATGCTGACTGTGGGATGCTCCGGCAGGAGGAAAAAGGCGTTCACGAGAAAAAAAAAAACAGAAACCCTGCAGCCCTTCCTAGCAGGTTCAGCGGGAGTTCAGGGTTTAGGATTGTTCGGGGTCAAGGGCTAGGGGAAAACAGGATGAGCTCCATTGCGGGCTCCAGCTACCAGGCGTGCTCCGGTGGGCCCCGGTCAACCCTGCTGGGTGAGCTCCATTGCGGGCCCCAGCTAGCAGGCGTGCTCCATTGGGCGTGAACCAGCCGATTGATGCCCCGCCTCAGTGGGCGCACGCATTGTCCGAGTTGAGGGTCCAGTTATGGAAGTCCTGCGTGTGATGGTTTGTGCAGGTCATGGCAATCCAGTCGACATTGAAAAAGATTTTTTTGTGAGGTGGTTTGCTGCGTGCGGAAACTTTCTTTTGAAGCCGTCTTGAACTTTTCAAGTCTGAGCTTCCTCGAATGACCATGTGGTCAAAGTGAATGGATGAGTCTGGCGTCCGGATAATGCAGATCTTTTTCCAGTCGCACGACAAGTCGTCCTCTTGGAAAC